TCCTAAAACGTGAATGGGCACATCGCTTATCCACAAATAGGAGAATGTCCTTTTTTGCCTTTTGTTGTGTCCATGGACCGCCACTAGAGGTCTACGTCCTGAGTCCCCTAGCTTGGCTCCTAACACGATAGGGGCCAAGGATCCTAGTCCACCTTGTAGTCCACCAATAGGAACTTGGCAGGAGATTCAAACCCTCCAGTAGGACTGTAGGTGTGTCTAGGGTGGGTGTATATAGTTGGCCCTTGCTGGCCAGTGAAGGTTGACGAGTTCAAAGAACGACACACACAAACAGCTCTGCAGAAATCTGTCTCTCCCTACCTGGAGAAGCAGGCTTTATTAGATTCCCTTCACTCCTTTCCCCTCCCCTATACATCGAAAGTTACATAGTCACCCCACTATGAGCTACTATATTCAGGAATGTGTTGTGAAGACAGCCTCAGTCTTATCTCTCCCTGACTCTTCTGCCAAGTTACTTCTCACGTTGAAGTCAGCAGATGCTTACCAGCTCCTTGCACACAGTTGCCAATCTCCCGGCAGGAGTAGTGAATTCCGGGCTTGCCACGCAGATATTCACCGTTTCCACAGGCCAGTTCTTGTTCTTGTGTTGTACCGAATAAATGTGACTTGTTCAGCATGTCGTAGTCCGCCTCTCCATGCATCGAACCCAGTACTTTTCACCTTTCTTTTGTCCCAGCAACTTTGTCCCACTGTTTTGCACCCAACGCCATCTAACTACCCCAGTTTACAGAGCAGTCCTAAACAGAGTTATACCCTTCTACTAAGCTGGGCTTGCCAACCTCCAGGCGGGGCCCAGGGATCTCTTGGAATTACAACTGCTCTCCAGACCACAGAGATAAGAACATAAGAGAAGCCAATGTTGGACCAGGCCAATGTATTTATTTATTTATTGAACTTTTACCCCGCCCTCCCCCGCCAAGGCAGGCTCAGGGCTGCTTCCACAAAACTGTTAAACAGTATACGTTTTACAATTGATAAAATGAAGTAAATGATTTAAAAACACAGACAAATCAATTTAAAACATCACTTCGATGGCAATAAAAATAAAGTGCAATTTAAGGACACATTCAGCAGTGCCGCCGCGCTAAGTCGTGTTGGATCGGAGTTCACACAGGGCGCTGCTGGTAAGACGCCACTCCTAACGGAATGCCTGTCTAAAAAGCTCTGTTTTCACGGCCCTGCGGAACTGTGACAGGTCCCACAGGGCACGGCAGGAAGCTCATTCCAATAGGACGGAGCTACAAACAAGCTACAAACGAGATGGGACAATGGCCCCTCCAGTCCAACGCTCTGTCACACAGTGGCCCAAAATACCAGGTGCCATCAGGAGGTCCAGCAGTGGGGCCAGGAGACTAGGAGCCCTCCCACTGTTGCTCCCCCCCAAGCACCAAGAATACAGAGCATCACTTGCCCCAGACTGAGAGTTCCTATCTATACCTTGTGGCTCATAGCCACTGATGGACCGCTGTTCCCCTGGAAGAAATGGCTGCTTTGGAGGGTGGACTCTACAACATGATACCCTGCTGAAGTCCCTCCCTTCCCCAAACTCAGCGGAATAGGCCTGGAGTTTCGCCGCTGCCAGAGCCTTCTTCCTCGGGTCAACAGCTCCTTGCTCGATCTCTCTGGTCTCACACAGCCAGTTGTCACCGACATCCTCCCCGACCTTCCTCTGCTTCTCTCCTTTTATCCTTTCCTTCCTCCCTGTTATCCCTCCCCTTTCTCTCATTAGGGAGTCTATTGCACCTGTGTCCTGCCAATCACCAAATCTGTTTTCCCCATAGGACCCCTCCCCCTTTGTCCCACCCCCCTGTGGTTCCCTGTGATGCCCTTCCCTAAAGGTTCTACCTATGGGTGGGCCCACGTCCGGGGTGTCTGTGCGAGCGAACGACAGCGTCTGTGATGTCCCTGTCCCTCGTCCCTCCGGTAAGTTTGGGCTATTCCATTTACTCCGCAGCTGTGCCCAAGCCCGTCCCTCCTGGCAACCCGGTCTTGGCTCCTGCTCTAGCTCTCCCCCTTCCCTCCCTAGTCCTTGACTTCTGGGCATCCCTGTTCTCGGTGGAAGTGTAGTTGGCATCACAGCAGTTTCCAGGATCTCACCTGTAGTTCCTATAGCTCAAAGGTGGTCCCCTGAGCTCCCGTTGTGCTGTGAGTCCGGCACGGGGCATGGCAGTCCTGCCGCAGTGGCCTCAGAGGCTAGAGAGGAACCCGCAGCAGGACAACTTCAATTAATGTAGGAAGGGGCAATGCTGTTTAGGATGGCACTGGTAGTCTGCAGCACATCATGTTCTCCATTTTAAGACTACAGTGGCAGATTTTGGGTTGCACCTTGAAATCTCTCTTCCCCCCCCCTTAAAAAGCTGAACATCTAGTCTGATGAAGAGTTCTCCAGAACTCAAAAGCTCGCCCTTTTGAAACGCACACTGTTTTCTGACTATTGTGCATTTTATGAATTTGCCCGCCTTTCTCCTGAGCATACAAAAACATTTTGTCTCGGCATTTGTCTACAGATCCATGCGCAGCTGCTTGCAGTTTCTAGAGTGACAGCCAATTGTTACAGGTTCAAGGAGGGCTGAGTTGCAGGAGTAAAATCCGAGACTGTGGTATATGTCTCGATTTTAAAACTTTGACGGCAGTTCTCTGTTGCACGGAGAAACAGAAGCAGTTCCACAGCATGAAGGGGGGTTATTTTCTCCTGTGCCCTGCTGATGTTTCCTGGCTCCAGCGGAGGCCTCCAGGCTGAACACATTTCGCACCCTCCTTTTCAGACATCTCTCTGTCTGGTTGTGAGTGTCACAGTCGCAGGGCCTCAAAGCGCTCAGACTCCGGCAGCCTCTGCACATGGCTACCTCTCTTGTTTCCTGCGTGTGAATTGCCTGGGTGTCTCTCTGTGTTTTATTTGGCATTCCACAGCGGCTCGCTGGGAATTAACGGCCTTTTAATCAAGTGGCTCGGCTGCCCTGCCCGCGCCAGCAGACGCTCTCAAAGAGGATTATTTATCATTCACATGGTCTCTGTCTCTCTCGCCGTCTCATGCTGCCCTGTTGTTCCTTTGCTTCTTTCCTCGCTTACAAAAAATCCCGAAAGTGGGTTCCTGTGTGTCTCCCAGGGGATACGAGCAGCCCCCTGGTAACGTGTTCCCTCTCTGATTTCTTACCACCTACAATGACTTGGGCTTTAAAAGAAGTAGCAATACTGGCGTGGATTTATGTCTTAAAGCTGTCCTCCACCCTCGCCTCCAAAAAGAGCCAATTCTTCATGTTTTTCTGCATGGGAAGAAGGGAGAAGTGTTCTGTGAATAAGGGGTGATTCACACAACCCATTTACTGTGCCAGGGTGAGAATAGGTTTGCCATTCATTCATCGTTTTGATGGATCATTCACAGTTCAGCAGCTCAGACCACACACTGGGACAGAGGTTTAGGAAAATCAAACCAAATCACGGAGGATAGGTCTATCCCAGGCTACTACCCATGGTGACTAAAGGGAACCTCCATGTTCAGTAGTAAATCTCTGAATCCCAGTGCCAGGAGGCAACATCAAGGGGAGGCCTCGATCGCTATACCCTGTTGGAGGAGCAACACGGGAACTGGTTGGACATGGTATGACACAGGATGCTGGATGTTATGTCTTTTGACCGCCACCAGGGGCCAGCGAATACCCCCGAGCTTGACTCTGTAGATACAATGGTGACTAGGCTCCTAGTCTCTCCACTGGGGAACCAATAGGACCGTGGCAGGAGATTTAAACCCACGAACGGGACCTAGGGGAGTGTCCCCAGGTATGTATATAGTTGGCCAGCCGGCCAGTAGTCTTTGTCTTTGTTGTGTACCAGTAAACCATGCTGATCACTAAATCTGTATTAGTGGTTTCTACATGCGTCTAACCCACCACACTTCATTGGACTAGATGGACCACTGCTCTGATCCAGCAGAGCTCTTTGTATTTTTTTTAAAGGGACCATCCAAATAAACATTAATCAATTGTGCCTTTAGTGGGGGTATTAGAAAGTGCCATTAAGTCGCAGCTGATGTATGATGAATTGACCCCGTAGGGTTTTCAAAGCAAGGGACTTCAGAGGTGGTTTCCCGTTGCCTGCCTCTGCATAGCAACCCTGGACTTCCTTGGTGGTCTCCCATCCAAGTAGTAACCAGGGCTGGCCCTGCTTAGCTTCTGAGGCGAGTTGGGCCGGCCCGAGGTGTTCCTGCGCTCTAGGCGAGCGCAGATGCAACCTCCCAGTGGGGCCTAGAGACCTCCCAGCTGGCGTGCGTTGCCTCGGGGCGGAACTCGGCTTACATTGGCATCTCTTATGTTCTTATGTTCTTATGCCTCCTCCTCTAAGGAGGAGGGCGGGCATGTTGCGCAGCTGGAGCACTGCTGCTGCTGGGGCTGTCCGCAGTCGCCGCGCCGCTCCCATCGAGTCCCCCTGGCAAGCCGAGCGGGGAGTGCGCACATGGCCCTCCGCCTCCAGGCCTGGTGCAATGCCGCTACACGGGGAGGCTCCACGGTGGGCGGGCGGCTGGCCCCCGTGCCTTGAAAAGGAGCGTGCCTGGCTGGAAAGCCACGCGGCCGGGCCTGGCAAGTGCAAGGGATGGGGCATCCCCAACGCCACCCCCCTCCCAAAAGGGGGAAAGGCTACAGTACAGCCGGCAGGCGGGGAGGCGAGAGGGCTTTCAGGGGGCAGCAGCCCCCCAAGTGACCCCAATCCAGGCCACAGGGACCACGACGCCCCTCTGCGCAGCCCCATCCCCCCCGGCCCTGCCTCTCGGCTGCTGGCCCCCTCCTTCCCTCACCCCCCTCCCGTGCCTCCACCAGGCCGGGGGACTCGCTCTCCCCTCGAGGGAGGTGGGTGGCAAGGGCCGGGAGGCCTCGTGGCCATGTTGCTTGGGGGTCTGAGACACGGCACGGAGGGAGGTGCGGAGGGAGGGAGAGTGGCGGAGGGGACACCGGCGGCCAGCCCCATCCCGGTCCTGTCGTCCTACCCAGCAGCAGCACCACCATTGGGGCGAGCAGCAGCGGCAAGAGGCAGCTGCCCATCCTGCGCACCCCGCTGCCGCCGTTCCCGCCGCCCAGCCCCGTTCTTACCACCACTGACACCCAGGATCACCCGGATGGCGCAATCTGGGGAAAGGCTGCTGTTGGTTGGGCGACCTCTCCGAGTCCAGGCGAGAGGTCGGCTCCGAGGCCCCCCTGGGGCGCCGACTGCGGCGTGGGAGGGAAGGGAGGCAGGAAGACAGGCAGGCACGGGAGGCAGAGCGGAGGCCTCGGAGGGTGGTGGACCTTGGCCCTTCCTGGCAGTGCAACGCCGGTGGTGGCTGGCTGGCCCGAGGGGGCGCCGTGGCTCCTGCGGCCGCCCCTGCCTCTTCTCCCGCGCCCTAAGGGCTGACCCGTGGTCTAGGGGGACGCCTAGTTCGCCTAGAGGGTGAGCCAGCCCTGGAGGCGACTGGACCAGCCTGGGCCATCCAAGTCAAGGCTGACTTTAGGGACTTCCATTTTAAAAACATGTTCAGGACAAAACGGTATAACAGCAAGTATTTTTTAAAAATAACAACTCTACTGTGGGTGAAGTGTTTTGTCAAAACAAGTGTCAATGCACTTCATTTGTTTTGCATATGAACTATTAGAACGAAAACTATACGAAGGATAAGAGGCTATTCTGTATGACCATTTGGTCTTGTGATCTCCATTTATTTAATAACTAGCAGTAAAGCCCGTTGTGAAAGTGTTGCAAAGTCCCCAAATTCCTCTGGATTGTACCCCAAATGTTTCTTTCTAGTAGTTGATTTCTCATTACCAATTCTGGCAGAGAGTTCCTGGCTTGAATTTTGCTGGAAGAGACTGTTTGGTGCTCCCCCATCAGGCCACACTGAGAAGACATCCAAAGGGAACATAAATGTCATCTGAAACACCTCAAAGCAATCAGCTGAAGGCTGAGTTTCAAAGAGCTCTTCCTTATGCTCCATGTTGAAAAACAAGGTGGGAAGAGAGAAAAAAAGATGTTGGTAGAGGTAACTGTGGAGAGCCAGTGTAGTGCATTGATTAGAGTGTTGGACTAGGATCTGGGAGACCCAGGTTCGAATCCCTACTCTGCCATGGAAACTTGCTGGGTGATTTTGGGTCAGTCACACTCTCTCAGCCTAACCTACCTCACAGGGTTGTTTTGAGGATAAAAAGGAGGGGAGGAGAACAATGTAAGCCACTTTGGGTCCCCATAAGGTTTAAAAAATTAAATTCTGGTCCTTCAAGCACTCTCAGCATGGTAGTAGAAAAGAGTAAGAGTCCAGGAACACCACAAAGACTAACAAAATTTGTGGCAGAGTGTGAGCTTTTGGGCATCACTGTGACACATGAGAGAGCTCATACCCTGCCACAAATTTTGTTAGTCTTTATGGTGTTCCTGGACTCTTACTCTTTTCTACTGCTACAGGCAGACTAACATGGCTACCATTTGGATCTATCTCAGTGTGGTGCAGTGGTTAGAGTGTCGGACTAGGATATGGGAGGATCAGGTTCAAATCTTCACTCTGCCATGGATGTTTGCTGGGTGACCTTGAGCGAATCACTCTCTCTCTCTCTCAGATTAACCTACATGGGTAACAAAATGAGGAACGCACATACCAGAGGGGGATACACTTCTGAGTAGCAGTGTGCGTGAACAAGATCTTGGGGTACATGTGGACCATAAGTTAAATATGAGCAGCCAGCGTGATGCAGTGACAAAAAAGGTGAATGTGATCTTGGGGGTGTATCAACAGAGGCATAACATCCAAATCACAAGATGTCATAGTTCTGCTGTACACTACATTGGTCAGGCCGCACCTTGAGTATTGTGTGCAGTTCTGGAGGCCTCAATTCCAAAAGGATGTGGACAGAATGGAGCAAGTGCAGAGGAGAGTGACGAGGGTGATCAGGGGCCTGGAGACCAAGCCCTGTGAGGAAAGGCTGAGGGACTTGGGAATGTTTAGTCTGGAGAAGAGGAGGTTGAGGGGGGACACGATTACTCCTTTGAAAGGCTGCCACTTAGAGGAGGGCAGGGAGCTGTTCCTGTTGGCAGCAGATAATGGGTTTAAATTAATGGGTTTCAATTAAGGGTGGGAAGGTACCAGCTGGATATTAGGAAAAAGTTGTTTACAGTCAGAGTTGTACCACAGTGGGATCAGCTGCCTCGGGAGGTGGTGGTGAGCTCCCCCTCACTGGCAGTCTTTAAGCAGCGGCTGGACAAACCCTTGTCAGGGCTGCTCTAGGCTGATCCTGCATTGAGCAGGGGGTTGGACTAGATGGTCTCTGTGGCCCCTTCCAACTCTGTGATTCTGTGATTCTACCTCATGGTGTTGTTTTGAGGATAAAATGGAGGACAGGAAAATGAGGTTGCAAGCTGCTTTGGGTTCCCACTGTCGAGAAAACTGGGGTATAAATATCTAAATAAATAAATAAACCTCCACAGATGTTGTTGCCTAGGTTGTGCCAACTCCCTCAACTCATTATTGTATAACCTCTTGACCCCCATCCCCAACAAAAATGCAGGCTGAAATATAATGCGACAGTGCAAGGCAACTATGTGCGGGCGCTGCATCTCAGAAACTGTGCTGCTTGTGAAGTGTTATGCTTTTCATTTTATGATCCTTGTTCGTGTTTTGTATCCACCCCCCTCGGTCAGTTCTTTGGAACCCCTGACCTAGAGATGAATGTGTTCAGAATGTCTTTGCACGTCATTTGATACCCAGAGGCATCCTAGCTTTACATGCCGTGCACCTGTGTCAAATTTGCTGGCAGGTCCATTTCTGATCTGTTTGTGACCTTCTTCCTCCTCCCTTAGGACTCTAATCCTGGCTCTAGGAGCGAAAACGTGATCAACATCAACCATTACGCTACCAAGAAAAGCGTGGCCGAGAGCATGCTAGACGTGGCACTGTTCATGGCCAATGCCACGCAGCTGAAGGCAGTGCTGGAGCAGGGGCCTTCCTTCCACTACTATGCCACCCTGACCACCCTCATCAGCATTTCCCTCTTCCTCCAAGTGGTGATTGGGATCCTCCTCATTGTGATGGGTAAGGCGGTTTCTGAGGACCTTGATGTTCTACCAGGAGCCTTAGATATGAAGAAAAAGGATCAGTGCCTTGTGGTTTCTCCCTCTCTGTAGTTTTGTTTTAAATGAAGTCCCAGAGGTGGGACTTCATTTGTTTCACAATACTGGGGATCATTTTTTTTCACTAAGACAGGGGTCCTCAATTGGTGTAGTGGTTAAGTGTGCAGACTCTAATCTGGGAGAACCGGGTTTGATTCCCCATTCCTCCACTTGCACCTGCTGGATGACCTTGGGCAAGCCATAGTTCTGGCACAGCTGTTCTTGAAAAAGAGCAGTTTCTGTCAGAGCTCTCTCAGCCCCACCTACCTCACAGGGTGTCTGTTGTGGGGAGGGGAAGGGAAAGGAATTTGTAAGCCACTCTGAGACACCTTTGGGTAGTGAAGGGTGGGGTATAAATCCAGTCTCCTCTTCTTCTTTTACCTCACAGGGTGTCTGTTGTGGGGAGGGGAAGGGAAAGGAGTTTGTAAGCCGCTCTGAGACACCTTTGGGTAGTGAAGGGTGGGGTATAAATCCAATCTCTTCTTCTTCTGCTCAATGTGGTGCCCAATGACACGTTTCCTGGTGCCTACCGGGTGTTTTTAGAAATTGGGGG